ACAAAATAGGCGATCGCTCTAATAGTTATTTTTAAATAAAAGAACGGCGTCCAGACCTAGCTGAGGCGTACCCAGATAAAAAATGCCCCTATGCAAGGCACCCAATAAGGTAGACTTATTATCTTATCTTTTGATTTATTCAGCAGCAAAGCGAAAGGAAACCAATCGCACTTACCCCCGTAATCGCCCTCCCTTCGTTACTGCAAGCGCGTTGAGCACCATCTTCTTCGTCCGTAACATCATCGTCAGAATCGGCAATGACAAATCTTTTCACCGAGTGTTGCTTGAGTACTTTCGTTGCCAACAGTAGCGTTTCCATGCTACTTTGTTCCGGTTCATTTTCATGTGGATGTACGATATCGGAATTTTCACGCTCCACTTCTGATGACGCTTCACCTTCAGGTTCAGGCTCTGCTACAATAAATAAAAAATGAACACAATCGCAAAAATCGATTCAGTTGGACAACATACAAATTGAAGAGACTGTTAACGCAACCTATTGGTTTTATTTAAAAAGCTGTGATGCACTTACCTGTTATAGATTCAGCACAAGGTTAACTAATGATATGGATGATGGATCTTCAGCAGACGATCCTTCGCACGCATTAGACATTTTTATAGCTTCTTTAGAAATATGACACAGAACGCTCTCGCACAAGAAGACACACGAATCTACAACAACATAAAAATGCGATATCATTTTCACTTCACTGACAAAAGTTAACGCGTCGTAAAAAAAGTAGACTTGCAAATAAACTGTGCGGATGAGCAGGGACGGGTATTTCGCTATCGAACGAAAGACAGTCAAGGAGCAGGCGATTATTCAATGGCACTAAAGTATGCCCAACTCTCAGTAATGAGGTAAATATTGGCAAAATCCCCTACTTTCGTGTTAGAATGAGGTAATACCAAAGCAGGCCTCCCAATGCGAAAAACTGAAAAAATGGGGGTGACCAGGATGATCAGAACCAAATTGGTTTGAATTTTAAAGGTAACCTCAAGAGTTTTCAGAAAGCCGATTGATGTTCGCGGAGGGAACACATGTGGGAGAAGAGTCGACGCACGCCTCGCAGGGCGTTGCGTTGCGGTCGCATCCATTGGCTCGAAGCCAGCTCGTCAAAACACGCCACACGCTCGACACTGTAGGTGTATTGGCTTTTGGCCAAGGTGTATTGACTTCTCAACCCTTTAAAATTGGCGATGGAGCGCTTTTGCTGAATGTCTCGACTCTGTGATCATCAATCCGGGAAATCGAGATGTTCTTGAACATGGAATTGAGTGTTAACCTCAGTTTTCTCCTTTAAAACATTTGAAAACCACTCCTCCACTATTCATTTGTGCAACTGTGGCAGAGGTAAAGGCTTTGGTGAATAAAATTTGATCTCCTATAGTTGGGTTTTTTATTTCCATGAAGAGGGTGTTATGCGATTGCTGTATAATTATTACAAGGTGACCCCGCAGAACTAATTTTCTGCGGACATAAAAGTCTCAGCTCAAAAAAACTTCGCTCCTTAGCAGTAGTGAATAACTGCTTGATTCTTGCAAAGAAAGACCGATCAAGCGCGTGTATTTGAAAGTTTACCTGTGTTATTTGTGCTCTCGATGATCATCAAGTTAAGGGTTCCATTCCCTGTAACTTGCTGGAGCCAGCCAAAGGGTTCTTTTTGCTCGAGGGACACGATTAACTTCATACCATTTATCCAGAGCTTTCACGCGAAGTGGAAGTCTGGCCATCGCGTAGGCAGTCGTCCGGTGTTTGCTTGACATCATAGGGCAGTAGTTGCTCTAGCCAGCGGTCGGTCACCTTCGAGGCGCATGACGGGTCCGGTAAACCTGGTCTTCGAGACCTTGGCAAACGCGGCTGCGTCCCTGATCTCGGTCGTCGGCAGAGTCAGAGCTCGGGTTGCCTCCCTTACTGCGGGAAACCCTACTATCGCTCTTTCGCTGAATTACTCTAACCGCAGGTCCATTGTACTTTCATAAAGTCCAGTCTCGGAGGCGCAAGTTATGGGAGGAAGGACCGCGGAATCGAAGAGGAGGGCACGGAACCACTTCTTCGCTAGTCCTCACTTGCCCACTGAACTCTTGTTATTTGTTTGCCCGCCGTTGAGATGCAGTCCTCCACCTTAGTTGCCGACGCTGCGGAAGATGAGGAAATTTGAGACGAGGTGGGGGGGGGAAGGGTCGTACTGATGCCGCCATTTCACATATCATCACACTGCTTGAAGTAACACTCATGGCCAGAACAGGCCTGAAAGATCTGATATTTATGACTTGCACCAAAGTAGCCATCCTTGGCATAAATCCCTCTGTAGCTCTTTCTTTGAAGAATTTTATTACTAGCTGTGGTGCCTAGTTAGTTTCCATCATTTTCGAAAACGTTTTCACTTTTTCGCTGTTGCTCAGTTCAGGACCAGAATAACGCGTATAGGCAGTCTTTTGACGGTCACGGAAAAGACCTTTATTTCAGGTCCATGCAAGTCGCATCAGTCAATGATGTAAAGATTTATAACTTGAGCGCCGGGAAAAGCATTCCAGAAGTAAGTTTTGGTCTTTGGTTCCTTCAATTCTGAAGTCCTCTCAGAAGAACATTCCATGATAATCTGGTGTTCCGGGGCTCGTAACCGTTGTGCCTTCCTATTTGGTGGTTCCCTCCTACCAAGACGGTGGGGACAGGCCAATGAGGAACATACAGCGGTTACGAGTCTCCGCCTGAGCAGATCAATATGTTCCTGAACACCGCTTACGATGTTAGCCTCAAAGTCTTATTTTGCAGTGGATGAGCTCAGAAGCGAGACGAAGAGCGGAACGGAAAAGTATAGGTGAGTCTTGAGAGATAAGCTGATTGCAATAAACGCGATACAGTACACACCAGGCAAGACAGTAGCACTCTGTTCTGCCCTGCAGCGATCAAACTTTGGCCGTGAGAGGGGTGATTCTCTGTTAAACACAATTGCTCCCCATCCTCCAAAATTTTTCTTCCCTTACCAAGCATTCTGAATGATTTGCCGAAACGACTTGAGGGGGAAAACCCGCGATCGACTCAGAAGTAATAGTTTCGCGGTACTCCTGGCTAGGGGCTATAGGAAAATGGGAAAAAATCTACAATCAAGATAAATTTCTCATTATAAATGCAACCTCCTTCCGTAAGCCACACGTGACCCGCCGCTAGAGAATCCCCAATGTACAAAGTGCCCGGTCCTGCAGTGCTGGAAGATTGCTGGTGTCGGATATCACTACTGATTAAGTGAGCTGTAACATCAAATCGATCTTGAGCTGTTTTGATCTTTTTTTTCTGTTCATAGTAGCACCTGTGCCAAGTCTCCGATACCTTTGAGCAGTAGTAGCTGTTATGGTCCATTCTGCTCTCCCTTGATTCTCTGGTTGCCTGGTTACCCCTAACCTTACCCCGAATGTTTTTACTCTTTTTGAATTGATGTATTTTGTTTTTTTTTTCTTTAGTTTTGGTTTTTTAGTTTTTTTTAGTCTTGGATCAACTCGCTGGGACCTTCTGAGCCTTTCGGCAAAGGGATACCAAGCTCCAGACGGGCTTGTGCATCCGTTGATCTGCGCAAGTAGTCGTGTAGGCCAGATCGAAATAATTCCGACAAGGGGAGGAATCGGGGGGGGGGGGGGCATTTTGATGTCGGAAACTTTTCGTCGAAGCACTGTTCCCTTAATTTACCTTATACTGTTATCTTTCTCTCCCCCTCGACCGCTTCTTTGGCCAACTTTATCTGCATGTGAAGCCCTTATTATGAGGTTCCTCAGCATTGCTGCGTTGAAATCGTGCAGTACTGCTACCTGCGTTCGTTGTATTCTCCTTGTACAGTACTTTTGTAGATGTGCGGAGGCGTGTGCAGCTTATCCAAGACTTTGAAATGCCTGACGTCAGTCATACTGTCAATGTTTCACGTGATGGAAGATATGTTTTTGCAACTGGTAAGGTATTCTCCTTCGTACTCAAAAAAGGAAGAAAGATAGCTGTGAACAGGTAAGTTCCCTTTAGGAGATCCCCATATTGCTCGAGTTTTGTAATAGTTTCGAGAGCAAATTATTAGTTTCTACCCGTTGACACATTCGCGGCGAAGGCCATTTCGTCAAGAACTCACGTTTATCGTTTTTTCTCTGGACACTTTTTGCATTTTTTCTTCGTATTTACATGTGATTGTGTAAATAATTTGAGCGAATTATAAAAATCGCAAGAAGTGCAGGGAAATGCGCGTGGTCTCGCACTGTGTAGATAGGCTGAAAAGAGGGGTTCGTGCGTGTACTGTGTAGGAGAGGTGGGAGAACACGCCGCCTCGAATGTGTTAAACGAACGTTGTTCATATGTTGCGCCAGGTCTACACCACCATGTTGCACCCAAAGTTCGCACCCACCATTATATTCAGGCCGTAATATACTTTTCCTTACAACTCAGTTGCAAACCTGGAATCAGGAGGAGTAGGTAGTGCAGTGGCAATTAGTTGGCTTGCCAAAAGCGTGTTCAGGTGTTCATATGTGGTATCCGCTTCCACCCATAGTAATCAGGCTTCCTACCCTCGCGAGATGGTGATTTCGCACTCGATTTGTTTGGGGAAAACAAAACATTGATTTGTCCATCGGCTGCCCCTAGGTCGTTGTATAGGCCATACAGCCACTCAACGATACAGAATAAATATAGGACGCGCCCTGTAAAGGACTAGAGTGTTCAGACCTTTACCTTTTACTCAAAAATGAAGAATTGGGCGTCCCTTGGGAGGGCCTTTTTGCTCTTTCGCTGCTAGTTCCTGTTGAATACGCGTCTTACCTTGATGGAAGCCTGTACTCTTGCGAGGTAAACAAAGCTCCTGCTATTGCATAGCCTCACAGGATTTTGCGGGTCTCCTCGTTAGATTCCGGCAGTGATAGATGAGAAACAGCAAAATGCCCCTCCAAGCCGAACTGCGAACTGTCACGCCTTTCACGTTTGTGTTCTTCATGTGCACTGAATATATATTTATAGGTAGTTACAAGTCATGGTTAAAGTGTTACGATCTGGAAAACCTCTCCTGAAGTTCCAACGAGGTCTCGATGCAGCCGTAATCAAGATGATCCCTCTAAGTGACGACTATTCGAAGGTAGAGCATTTGACTTGCAATATTTACTATGCTTAATTATCGTGTTCAGTTAGTTCTGTTGCAAGAGGATCGTTTTCTCGAAATGCACGCAGCGTTTGGACGATATTTTCGTATGCGCATGCCTCGATTTGGTAGAGATATGGCTTTTTCGATTGAACGAAGTGACCTCTTCCTTGTTGGTGCAAGGTACTGTCCCATACTATTTGGTTTAGTTTTTCGGTACTTACGCAGTACAGGTACGCCATCTAGTACGTTACCAGTTGAGAGTACTCAAGCAGCTTCAAAAGCCATGTTAGACTCTCAATGAAAAAAAATGGGCGGAGATCCGATGCTTTGGTCATGCCTTGGTCGTCCCTTGAACCTGCTTGGCCAGGCAGGCTAGGAAGGCAGGACCATACTTCGCGATCTAATCGCTCGGATCGCCACAGTGCTCACGCAATGCATGTGTATGATTCAGTTTGAGTGTCGCGGGCGTCCACCGTTTGGGTGGAGCGCCCCGGTCACAGATTGCGCTGATCCAAGCGATCTGATCGCGAAGCATGGACGCGCTCTTAAACGTCATCTCAGTAAGATTTAAGAGAACGATCCATCTCCTAACTAGTAGCAGGTAGCGCACCTGTGCTACACCTGCGTTAATCTTTTTCGCTATTCCTGCTGAATTTTAACTTTGAAGTTCCGAAGTATATCGATTGAATCTGGAGTTGGGTGAATGGCTTTCTCCTCTCCAAACAAATGGATCGGCTTTGAACTGCTGTCAGTTTGCAGACGCTCATCAGTTGTTCGTATGCGGTGAGTAAGTTTGTCGCTCTTTAGCTTTTTCACTTCTGTATTGATGGCTTGTTTAGGCACCACTGATGGTCAAGTTGAGGCATGGGATCATCGCGATAAGTCAAGAGTTGGAATTCTTGATTGTTTACCGTATCTGCAGGATGAATTGAGGTGGGTTTTGAGAAAATACGTTTTCTAGTGCATGTTGAAGAGAACATTGACTTCGTTGACATTTCAGCAAGCATCCAGAAATCACGTCTTTGAAGTTTCGAGATGCTCTTCGGCTAGCCGTTGGAACTAGTACCGGGCAGGTAGTTTTGATTATTTGCTCGACTTTGTTTCCTCTTTTTTAAAGTGTCAGAGAAGTAACGTTCCAGAAAAATTCACATATTAGGCGAGTTCATGCTTTGCGGTTGAGATGAAAACTGGGCGTTTCCGTCGGCTGCGCGCCGAAGGAGTATCAATTGGCGTCGGTCGCTTGCGGGCGATTCGGCGATCTGGTGTCTTGGGAGCTCGAGCGATCCGGTGATTTGGTGAACCCAGCAATGAGACCCTTTGGTGAATCGGCGTCTGAGCGATTGCGCGCCAAGGGAGTGGATGGGTATCGATTGGATCGCACTAGGAAAATTCCAACTTCCACTAAGTTAAGTCCACAAAATGAACGCGAACTCGTACTATTTGCTGGAGTGTGTCTTGAAGCTGCCCTTTCGCTTGGCCTCTGTGATGTCTTTCGAATTGGGCATTGGCCAACTTCCACACTATAAGAGTGGACACCATAATTCTCTGTCTTGAATGAGTCTCTACAGCCGCACAGGTGCGTTCATGCTTCGCAATCCACGCGGTCGGCCCCGCTAAGCAAGAGCATGCTCTAAAGAAGCCCATAGACAAGCCTGAAATGTACCTCCAAGAATAGTAAAGCTCTTATTTTGCACAGCTATGTGAATTCGGTGTTTGTCAGTCGTATTTCTCCTTCAGGTAATGTTGTATGATATTCGATCGCGGAAACCGCTGCTAGTAAAGGATCATGTAAACGGCTTACCTATCAGGCAGATTGACTTTGCTTTGAAGTTGGTAATTTCCTGTTTTCCTTTCACTTTCAGTCCTTCTTTGATTTCCTGTTCTTTATTTCCTTACTAGTCTTTTTGTCATTTGTTTCTTCGGGTAATGTTTCCGTGCAGTGGGGCCTGTCTGTGCACGTTTTAGTCTTTGTCAACCCTTTATTTCAAATATTTCAGGGAAACCGAAAACTTGGTCCTAAGTATGGATAGTCGAGTTCTCAAGATATGGAATGAAATTGGAGGAAAACCGTTTGCTGCCATCGAAACAGAGCACGCACTGAACGATTTCTGCCGATATCCTGGTTCAGGTGATGACGCGTTCCTCATCTTTCTTAGGAATGCAGTGTAACCCTGGACGTAGTTTGGCTTGGAAGGGGCATCTTCCTGGTTCCCGTCGATCACTGTCGTTTGTTTGCCCCTGTAGAGATCTGTAAGTTCCTGTCAGGCTGTGCAGTAGCAGGAGCTTAGTATCACTTGACACAAGTGTGAGATGTAGTTCAACAAGAAGTAGCAAAAGGAGTCAGTGAGAGTGCGAAATGCTCCTCTCGAGCCGAACAGCGCACATTTAGTACTGAAAATTGTGGCCGAAACAACAGTAGGGTGTATTTGCATTTTAAGCCACACGTGCTGCTTGCAACACGTCCAGCAAAACAGTTTTTAATGGTTTACTGTATTCAGGCCTAATATTCATGGCGAATGAAGCCCCTCGTATGCTGCAGTTTTTCATTCCTTCTATTGGCACAGCTCCGAAATGGTGTTCTTATCTTGAAGCATTGACTGAGGAATTGGAGGAAACTCAATCAGCTGCTGGTATGTTTGGAAAGAGTTTCTGAGATCTTAGGCCTCCAATGTTTGCCCTTTGCGACCGTATTCTTAAGGATGTATGTTTACGGGATGCGATCTTCTACTAGACATTGCGTCCCCTGGCGAACTTTGTTCCAGAGGGACGAGGATAGCGGGAGGTTAGTCTCCAAAAAAGAATCTTCGCGGCCGAACGGGCGGGGGCACCTGTGATAAAACGTCTCAAATCACCATTTTGTTAGCCAGAGGTATCGGGGACCTTCAAAACAAATGCATCCGCTTGGCCCTGAAACTACGCGCATCCGCTCAGCGCTAAAACGGCGCTAGTGTCTGCAGCGTACATACTATGCGCTGTCGCACCAAGCTGATGTCAAGTACTTGTTCAGGTAGACAAACCAGGACATGTCCTGCCACGGGGCAGAATTTTTGCCAAAGTACGTCCATCCCCCCACACATTTCTTCCTCTTATATGACCTCCTCCTACCATCTTACTGAACCTCGCAAGTGTTAGCCGTCTCAAGAGCGAAGCAAGGAGGATAGCTCTCCGGTGGACCACCAAAGTGGTAATTTTGCCGGTGGCGCCGCCTGGGGGAGAAGGGGGCGAGTATATGCGTGAACTAGGAGATATCAGCAATTGAAAAAATTCCTCTGGTCAAATACGTCTCCTTCCTCTCCAGCGACCGATTACGACGCCGCTGCGGATTCCCCAAAGAACAGCGAATCCCTGAACAACCTATCCATGGGACTTAAGTGGGCAAGTTATTCCGCCCAAATTTACGCCTATTGTGATTTGTCGATATAATTCCAGTGCTAGTTTTCGAAAATAGGGTCCTAAAAGGTGAATAGCGTCTGCTTCTATTTATCCTTGTTTTTTCAGTTTATGACGATTATAAGTTTGTAACGAAGGAGGAGTTGGATCAACTAAGCCTTTCCCATTTGATTGGAACCAATGTGCTAAGGGCATATATGCATGGATACTTTTTGGATCGAAGACTCTACGACAAGGCACAACTTATTACGCAACCATTTGCCTATGAGAAGTATAAAAACAGGAAAGTAGGTTTTTCTCATGCTATGCTCCTGATTTTTCGTTTTTTTTTGTTCGTTTTTTTTTGCATTTTTATGGATTATTTCTGAGGTTATAACATATTTACTTGAAGGTCCAAGATATTATGCATCAGGAGCGTGAAAATAGAGTTATTGTTAACAAAGCGGAATTGAATCAGCCGAAGGTGAGTCCGAGCGGTTTTCGTGAGTTCTAATCATAATACTCCTTTTCCAGCTTTTTATCAATCTGTTTTTTCTACGGTTATTTCCAGGTGAATAAAGAACTCGCGGCTCGTTTACGTGCGGAGGCAGAAGCGGCAGCTGAAAATGCCGTCAATAAATCAGCGAAGAAGAAAAAGAACGAGAAAAAGAAGGTTGGTATCGTTGTTTACATGATGGGCTGACAACTAGAATCCGGTTTTCAGGCGTCTACAGCGGCCGTTATTCTTCAAGATGACCGCTTCAAAAAGTTGTTTGTTGATGAAGACTTTGAGGTAGGTGCTTCGGGGTTCACTTGGAAACTCTATTTTTCATTTCAGTACACAAAATGTGGTTTTGTTTGTAGTTTTTTTTCTTCTGTTTTTTGGATGTAGGTAAATTAGTCAGCGTATGTAGCAGTGAGCTGGAGTTGAGGGAAATGATCCTCCAAAGCCACGATTTGGCCGATTTTGGTGAGCGAGGCCAAATAGCTGATTTTCGGTCTGGGGTCAAATTACGGCACGGCAGTCTATCAGGGAGTTGTGACTCAAGAAAAAGAGGCTTTGCTGTAAGCAGACGTGCATGAAGTCTCTCCTCCTCTGCTCTCCTGTTGAGGAGATCAGAGTGCAATTTGGTATAACAAAGAGAATGGGGGATGGAAGTGTGGGGATTTCGTTTGGGAAACGGCAAAGCGAACAGCTTGAAACTTCGTACTTGCATTGGTCCATCGATTAGTGCTAGAGCGCGGACAGTCACATCTGTGCGATTGAAGCGCTCGAGTCCGACAATTTCGTCTAAAGTGCCCTACTATAGTTGGTTAGTGGGTCACCTCTATTACTTGCCAGCCGTCGATCACCGACTTTCTCAAGCGGCACCTGTATCTGTCCCTGATGCGAGCCGGTGTGGTTCAGTGCATCCATCAGCCGTCATCGACAAGTTTGACCATTGGGCCACACAAGTTGAGTATTACTAGTAATGTACCGTAACTCAAAATTAGTAAAGTCTTGCTTGGTTAGGAGATTGTCCTGGTGTTGGGTTAACGTCACAAGGATCCAGCGGGTGAATACTGCTCTAACAGTCATCACAAATTCACATGGCTTGTCCGATTTCTAAACTTGGTCCTTCAATTCCTTTAGGTGAATTTGGGTTGAATGATGGTGTAGTGTGTGAAGACGACCTTGATCTGAATTTCGATCAGTGATCTCCAGATCAGAAAGTTCTTTGAGAAGAATTGTTTAACGACATTCGCCACACATGTTGGAGTACCACAGCGAAGGCTGAAGTACAACAAGTACATCAGCAAGTTATCTTGTACTGCAAAATGAGAGAAAGCGTCCCATGAGGTGGCCTACCGCCCTTTCTCATCCCTCTGCTCAAAAGAATGAGTTCAAAAACCTCATACCCATTTTAATAATTGCGGGATCGACTACGCCGGTCCATTCCGAACAACTTCGAATGAAGAAGAAAGCAAAGTTTGGATTGCCCTATTCACATGCCTCAACACACGCGCTATCCACATCGATGTAGCGAAAAGCCTGACCGCAAATTGTTTTCTACAGATTTTTCGACGATTCATATATCGACCCCATGGATGCCTCATTTGGATGCTGTCAGAGTTAATGCGTCGCAGTTCACCTCCCGTGGGAACTTGATCCTACAAACCCCCAATGACGAACAACATATATCACCGACTCTTAGCCGTCTGCGGAGCACAAGTATACCGATTTCAATATTCATCTCCCTGCTTGCGTCGGCGGGGTCTCGTCACGGTGGCAAGTGTGGCTTATACGGAAGCATGATCAAAATTTTCAAGAATTCCTTCAAAGCTGCCATTAAGAACCGCAAACTGGACATAGACGAATTTCTTACACTAGCAAAAGAATGTGAAGCAATAACAAACAGCCGACCCCCCTCACATATGTAGTAGTAGTGACTGTACCCACCGAATCAGGATACCCACTTCGACCCATCGATTTTCTTAGACCATTCGCTCTCCTGGGATCACCTAGAATACAGGAAGAGGAGGAATCAGACGAAGAATGGAAGAGTGTAATAAAACGAGATGATCCTTTCAAGCTACGAGTGGAAATTTAACCGCCTAGACATACTTCAACAAGTTTTGGAAGCAACGATGGCACAAAGAATACCTTACGAGCATGAGAGAACACTTTCAACAAGAACATAATCAGCCACATTCAGTAACACAAGAGCTACCTGAAGAAAACCACATCGTCATAGTGCACGACGCGATGAAACCGCGAGGCCAGTGGAAGCTTGCAAAAATAATTAAAACAAGACCACCAATGCTACTCTCAACTGGCCGACGACAAATAATTCACGCGCCCCCATCTTCACACTGCTATAACCCTCTGGAGCTAACCGATATCATCGAGACGGCAAAAGAAGAGGGAAGAGAAGAAAACATATTTCCAAGAAGCACAGCTCGAAATGAAGAATCCATAATCGCAGCTGCCAAAGAACACATCCCATGGTGGACAAGAAGCATGAAAAAATCAGAAGAAAAGGAACGTACGTGATCCCAAATACGAGACTGAAGACAAACAGATAGGTCTGTGATCAACTTAGGAGGGAGGGTGGTATAAGTTTATTTTATTTGTAGCTGTCAAGTACTTAATCCCGCATCTAAATTTGCCTACTCAAATGTCGAATTCTGTTTTTTTTTTCGGGCGGGAGTGTTTTATCCCATAAACTCTGTTTACCTCTATAAGTCCTATCACTGTCTCTCTATCACTATCGAGAGAAATATTAACCTCATTCATGGCAGAGTGAGGTTCAGTTTTATGGAATTTGCTGTTGTATTCTCTATGCTACGTCAATAAAGAAGCTATGCTACCCGTCGTGGACCACAAGGCTTCACAACATGTGACTCCACTTTTGCGCATAGAGGCTCTTCAAATACCCCCCCCCCCTCAAGGTGTGCTATTCAGTCAAATATTCAGTACATGCAGAACTCACCGATTACCAATGTTCCAATCGATAAGATATACGGTAACACAATCACTTTCGATATACCCACAACTATATGAGAAGTGATGCCAGCTGTGACTGATAAGAAACCGGCGAATAAGGATAGCATGAGGAAAGTCGATTGGATCCATTCAGGAGGGAAATCGAATGTAATCTGATGTTCATCGGCGTACCTGCAAACGACATCCACAATTAGGAAGCGTTACTTAACGCAAAATGGCCTCTTAAGGAATTACAGGACCTGATGTATCAATTCCCGAACCAGACAGCCCCGCCCACTCCCACTTACACTTCTTTTTTTGCTCTTGAACTTACCATTGCTGGAATGGGCTCGTGACAAGAGCCGCAAAGAGGCCATCTAGTACACGTCCAATGAAAAGGATTACAAATGATGAATTGAGTTTACATGCACAACCAAAGGCTCCAGCCATTATACACAAAAGGCAAAGAGCCCGACGACCTTAAAAAGAATAGTAGCGGTTTTCGCGCAAGCTGCTCAGACGCGCCGTGAACTCAAAGACACCGTTCGGAACAGCTGGGTAGGAGGGACCAGGGAACGACGCCATTGACATGCTCCTCCCCCCTTTCCGCCTTATACGGCAGTGAAGTAGGCAGAAAAGGGTGCAACAATGACTTCGACTCCTGGCTCCGCCCACTCGGCAATCCCGGACCTTACCGTATCTTGCCGAAAGATGCACACAGTAAAAACTGAAGACCATGTTCGAAATCAGACCGACTACATACAGAACAGCTATTTGTGTAGGTAAAAAGTTGAGATCGTAGAAAAACGCGTAGAGATACGGAGCCTAAATATAGGACCTTCACGTGAGGATTTGACTCTTTTTTGATATGAATTTTGACAAGTAAGGGTATTTACAAAGGAACCGAGTCTTGAAAGTTGCGCAACTTACTTGTAAGCTTTCTGAGAAGAGGACAACCAAGTAAGGAAAGAGGAAGCGTCGTTGCAATCCACGAAATTCCTGCATTGTTCTCGGCAGCGTCTCGTGGATACGTCTTTCTCTTCAAATTTGCCACAAATATACTAGCTCCAGCACATAACCCACACCAAATCCAAGCGATCACATGCACGTCGAACATCAATGGGAAGTGGAATCGGGACTGAAATAGACGACTGTGGAATTTCCAGACAACAAAATTTCGATCAATACCGAATTCTGCAGCGCATAATGAATAGAGCTGATTCAGACAAATCACAAATTTGAATTGATTAGGCTTGGCATGAGAAGAAATTTTCAGAGCAGAGCGATATCATTATGTTTCCGGAAATCGTGTTCATGTACTGAGATCCATAACATCGAACGCCATACATATGTTTCATTCGGAATCCTCAACAGGACAGAAAAAATAGAACTTAAAGACAGTGTACGATGATTAGATGATGGTTGTGGCATTCATATCGAACCATAAGGTGTAAAGTGGTACAGAGCGCCACTGGAGAGAACACCAGAAAAAAAAGTCAAAAGGCCCCCACAAAACCTCATGCACATAAAACCTCATGCGCATCTCAACATCAACGAGTTTCCCGACGTTTGGACGAATTTTCAGTCTTCTGGCTTCGAGCTAGCAGACCAATAGCGAAACAGACTTTGCCCTCGGAATGCATTTGAGTTCATCTACTCTTTATGGTTTTGTTTCCTTACATTTTTTATTTCCTGTTCCTGATATTCCAGCGGCCTCTCGTCATCTTCAAATAGTTGTTGTAATGATAAGGTCGCGAATTTCAGCGCATTTGCCCCGGTTAACACAAAATTCGCAAAACTGGACGACAAGAAGAGCAGAGCGACTGTAAGGTGGGAGGAAACAGGAGAGGACAAGACAATCGTAATTTCTCGCTTGTCGCGCGCGGCGTTGCGCATCCGGAGATGCGCAACAAACTCTCGATGCGCCGCCACGTCGACTGAAGCAGCAAAACTACTATGATTTCAAGCGAATACAAGACTCCGTGACGGGCGATACTGAATCTCCCCATCCCTCTGACAGTCATATGCAAACGGCGTGGCAGGACAACTCATCCATCGAGCGCGGCGTCGCTCTCACATCCACCAGTGCGGCATATTACATTATAAAACTTCTTGAATACCAGTTGGGAAAACGAGAGGAACAATGTTAGACCCAAAGCTTAATGTAAGATAATTCTGGGACAACACCAGTGTAAAAACACAATGCATTTAGAAGCAAAGCTTTTATTCCTTCTTATTCTGGTAATGTGAAAAAACAAATATTGATTAAAAAAATTACGCAAAAGCTCTCAAAACCGGGAAGTACCCATACAGTTTCTGCACCGACTACAATTAATTGTACATTTTGCAAGATTAGTGAATAAATGGGCCTTGTAGACCTGGCCTTGACCCTAGCATTTATACGTCAAAATATAACCGGGAAGAATACACGTCGTTTATAATGGTAATCTCGAGAACCAGACTGTTTCAGCTTGGCCTAGGTGTACATTCAAGCGAATTTTTATATCAAAAAGCGACATCTGAAATATTTTCCGTACTCCGAGGTTTCGCGACCATTATGAGCTCAATATCTGGCTTATCATCGACATCGAAGAGCCTCTGTACGATGAACCGAAATGATTCCTAAACAACATATGTAAAGCGAACATAGGTATGAGGGTATGAGTACCTTTACACTGACTAGGGAAGGTCGTCAGGTCGAAGTGGCCATTTGTAATGAGATGTAGCTCACTAGACGTGGTTTTGGACGCTGATCTCGAATCTGCCTTCAAAATTTGTAGAACGATTCTATGAACGGAGTTATGGAGCTTTTTCCACCGCGTTAACCACGCAACAGGTCGTGATATTGGATCCCTGCTGGACTTAACTTTTTTGCTTCTTGTGACG